TGGAACCGACCTTCGAATCTCTTCACCCAACACTTCTACTCGAAATGGAAGTAATCCCAACAAGCATAAAGTAACCAACCAAATCACAAGTAACTTCATTAAGCTGGTTAAATTGGGTAGATGAAGTGAGTAGGCTTGGTTTGGTATATTGTTGCGGTTTTACGTCAAGTAAGGCTTCTCGTTCCTACGACGACGAGGCAAACAAAGCCAAGCACCGATTCGTCAGTTTTGCAGGATGTTGAGCCGAGGACTTGTTCTCACAACCCAACCATTTCACTACGCCGTAATCCTCCTTCGGCTTCGCGTTACGCCAAGTTATTAACTCCCACTGAAAACACACCTTGGGGCAGCAAATCAAGCCAAGTAGGGCATCACTTTGACACAGATTTACGAATAATTTTCGACGATACTATTATCTAGTAAGTAATAGGATAGAATTTAGTGAATTAAGAGGACCATATGTGTTTTTAATGGATAAATTCTACCAGGGTTATGAGTTCCGAGGTTTAAGGCCTGACTCCTGGAATCACATGATTCAGTTTTAGGATCGAAATCGGCATCCAACCTCGACAAGAAGACATTACGGGAGACGATGTACAAAAGCGAACTATGTAGACTATGGCCATAGCAGATAAAATCACATATTTTTAGATCATCTCAGACTCGATTCTACAGACCGAAGCAAACAAGCACAAAACGATTCTTCAGTCTGTTTCACAGCGCAAACTAGAAAAAAATCTCCAAGACGCAACTCGGATCACCTGGTATGAGGATCATTTATGAGAGAGCGGTGCCGATATAATTCGACTTTCCGCATGCCCAACTTTGAGATCCAAAAAAGTCACTTTATGGGAGTGATATAGCCTCCTGGAAGAGTGTTGCTTAAAGTGATGGCCATGGAGGCAAATAATCTTAAGGTAGATACAAGCCCCGTTGGTGACTATGAACACTTTTCTTACCAAAGCAAGTGGATCTCATATAAAATAAAATTGAAAGCCATAAAACGACAAGACAAAGCTTTTTAACTTGGCTTCATTAGCCAGACAAAGGAGAAACATGATATCAAAGGGTAAAAGGGAATTGATGATCGTTGAAAAGGCGGGTGCAAGGAATTAGTAAATTGGCCCCACCGAGTACCGAAGAATGCTTGCATTGGACTAATGAGTGTAGGATCGT